CGGTGTAGAATAAATGGGGAGATAAAAGAAAAGAGGAGGAAGGGGAGTGCTCTATTTACACTAGAGTTTTATAGACAACTGTCCCATTCCACCCCAGCTCCAACCCTGGCCCAGAAAGTGAGGGGAAGCAGGTCTTAAGGGACAGAAATTAAGTGTCTAGGGACCCAGACAGCCTCCCACCCCCAGCTGTAATGGGTCCATGTTCAAGTCCACAAGGTGGGAAGGAAAGGTTAAGGTTGGAACGTGAGACACTCATTTCCAAACGAGCCTCCCTTGGGAATTCCTGCCTTGAAGTGGGACAACAGCCAAGCTCCGGGGAAAGGCCCAGGACCCTGAGGCTCAGTTCCCAAGTCACGTTGTCATTTGAAGTCCCAGCCTGGAGACGGCGGTGTCAGGGCTCTCCGGATTTGGGAGGCCCCCCTACCCGCCGGGCCTCCGGCCGCAGTTCCTTGCATTTCTGGCAGTAAAAGAAGTCGGGGACATTGGTCTTCTTGATCTTAGCACAGGAGAGGTGGATCCAGGTCCCACACAGGCTGCACTCAATCATGGGCCGCCCCGCAAAGGGCTTTCGGCAGTAACATGTGATCAGGTCCCATGAGTCATCACCTGGGGAAAGAAGGTCTGGTTGGTGTTCTGCCTGAGCTCTTGGGTCCACAAGCGCAAGCCCATCCTCCCAGCCTACCCTGGGCCTCCGCAGACCTCTCACCTGATTCTACCATGATGTCTTCATCCATGACCCGCATCTCGCCCTCACTGGAGCTGGCATCTCCATCCTGGCTCGTCTCAGTGCTGCCCACTTCCTTGCTCTCGCTGTCAGTGGGAGGGGCTCCTTCCGGATGCACTGCGGCAGGGGGCCTAGGAGCCTCAGGGGGTGTTGGCAGCACCGGGGCTGGGGCTTCACCCCCTACCACTGCTGCCATGTCATCCTCCTCCTCCTCTTCCTCTTCTTCCTCCTCCTCTTCAGAGTCTGTATCACTGGGGGGGGCCCGGGGAGGCCCAGGAGGTGGGAGTCTGTCCCCCCGATCTGCCTTTTTCAACTTCCGTTTCTTGCTTTTCTTAATTCGAGACCTCTTTTCCCCATCCCCAGGAGCGGGCCGAGGCCTCCGAAGCACCCCAAAGCCAGCCCCGCCTCCCGGCCCCAGCTTTCGGTTCTTTCGGTCCTTCTTTCGAGGAGGTTGGGAGAGGTCCCCCTGGGAAAGGGGTACTGGGGTGAGAGCAGCAGGGGGCCGGGAGGCGTGTGTCAGGGATGTGGGGGACAGTGGAGATGCCATTTTGGGCCCATCTAGATCAAAGAGAGAGTCCTTGAGCTTCATCTTCTCAAGCAGGGTTGCGCTGTCAGGGGCCTGCAGGCGAGAGAAAGTGGACCTCGGGGGTCCTGGTTGAGTGGGACCTGACTGAGCCGCCCTTCTCTTGGATGATTTTGCTTTCTTAACAAAGGTCTGGATGGTTCGGAGGTCTGAGGGGGCCGAGTCCCAGCCGTCACTGTCTGCCGCACTCTCACCGCGCAATGGAGAGCTGGAGCCAGAGGCTGGCCAGTCACTTTCCTTGAAAAAGGGGAGAGACCAGGGTCAGTAGGCGGCCTGGTGACATCTCAGCCCCTCTACGAGCTCAGCTTAAAAGCCAAGAACAAGATCTACCCCGAAATATCCTGCCCAGACCACCCAAAGTCACTACACTCAAAACTGCCCCTCTGCAATTCCCCTGAGAATCTCCTCTTGAAAACCTCCCTGTTGTCTCCGCCCTCACCTTCTGGCCATCTCCCCAGTCCCACCTGCCTTACAGCACCATCCCCCCCAGACCAGACCCGATTTATCTGTTTCCTCAAATGCACTGAGATGAATCTTCCACGAACACCCCCAGGCCATTCACTGCGTTCAAGCCACCCCAAGGCACTAGTTCCCCCACCGGTTTCCAATCTCCAGGCTCTTGCCCGTCCCATCTGATAGGCTTCTCCAGTAAAGTAGCGCAGTCCCCTCTGTCCCCCCGCCCTTCTAGGTCTAGGACCGCCTCCCCCAAGCTAGTTGTCCGTTCTCCACTCCCTACCTCTTTGCTAGGGGGGATGTAACCGGCATAGGCCAAGACGAAACTGCAGAATTTGTTGAAATCCTCAATGGTTCTCCGGCGCTTCTCTGGTGGCTGAAAGGAAGGAAACCTGTATCGCAAGGAATTTAGGAGGGGCATTCCCGAAGGCACAGTCCCTGCAGTGAAGGGTCTAGAAAAGGCAGGGGAGCAGGCCCAGGGAAAGAGGGCAGAGGGAGGGCATCAGGCAGTAACCCCAGGCTGCAAAGGGAAGGGAAGGCTCACCTGAGTTTCTGGCTTCAGGGTCGGGGGTGGATCTGTGGAAGCAGTAAAAGCTGAGTCAAGGCCCCACCTCTCAATCTCGGAGGTCCCAAGCGACCCCCCGCTTTCCTCAGGTCCCCCAGCCAGGCCAGCAGGTCCCCAGCTGTGCGGGACCCGCCCCTGCTGCCCCTTCCGCCCTGCGAGGGGCGGAGCCAGGGCGCGGCGCCCTCTCAGGCCTCGCTATAGCGCTCCCCTTCCCCCCACCGGAGGCCTGGCGCCCCGCCCCCCCCCACTCACGGTTTCTCTAGACTCCAGTCTACTCGATCTCTTGGCGCCCCACCCCGCCATACCGCTCCCCGGACCGAGCTCGGGCGGCCGCCTGCCCCTGTCCTTCACACGCGCCCAGTGCCCCGAGTTCCTCCCTGGTCGCGATCTACCGCCCGGGGCCCTCCGAGACCGCGCTCGCAGCCCGCCGGCCCCCGGGGTCCAGGATGACCACGCCGAACCGCTCCCCGCCCTCCGGCCCCTTCTACTCGAGCACGAGGCCCGGCGCGCCCCTCACCCCCACCCTGAACACACACAGGCACACACAGCCAACGCCACTCCGCGGCCGGGACAGACCAGAGAGCGCTAACCCGGACGCGGCCCCACCTGCCCCCCCCCATACCGCGCTCCCCACAATTTCGCCGTCCCTCCGCCCCCATCCGGGGCCTTGGCCCCTCCCCGTCTCGAGCTCCTCGGGCTCCCCGCCGGGGCCCCGGGCCCAGTTCCGAGCCCTCCAGCCACCGCCCCCCCCCCACCCCCGTACTCACCACCAAGTGACTAGGCTGCGGACCTCTAAACTCTAGCCCCCCCGCCACCGGCTACTCTCTCCCTCTACGGCAACCCCCGCTGCTGCCGCTGCTACCCCCCTCACCCTCCGCAACTCCCAGGCTCTAGCCCTCGCCGACCAACACCCCCCCCACGCAACTCGCCGGTCCCCCCCCCCCCCCCACCCCGCCCCACCGCCCCTACAACTACCCGGCTCGCCTCGCTTCCCAGCGCTCTCTCCCCACAACTGCCCGCCCTGTACAGGTCTCTCCACCGCAGACAATACCCAGACCCCCTCTTCTCCCCACAACTATCTGCCCACCCCTCCAACAATCACCGGGCCATCTCCGGCGGCAACTACCCGGAGCTCCACCGTCACAAACTCCCCCACCCGGCGAACTACCGGGCTCCTCACTCAGTCCTCTCCTACATCCTCCCTCCTCAACAACTCTCCGGCTTCCAGACTCCCCCAGCCTCCCAGCCTCAGGGCCCCAACGTGCTGGAGGCCCTTTCGGCCCCTAACCCCCCGAGCTCCGGGGCTCCAGCTCCCACTCCCCACCCCCCCACACACATTTAACGACGTCTGATCTCCAACTACCCCCAGCCCAGTCTTCCACTCCTCTTTCACCAAGATCCCTCAACTCGTCTCTCTCCCACCTCCGGGTGCAGGCCCCCGACCCCCTCCCCGCGCTCCCCCGCTGGGCTCCGGGGCTCGACCTCCAAGTTTGCCAATTGATTGCTCGCCCGCCCCCCCCACCGGCTCAGCGCTCCGTGCCGGTCGAGAGCTCACCTTCGGGACTGGGCTCCGCCATGGCTTCCAGCATCGCCCCCTCCCCTCCTCCCGGTCCGGCTCCCCCCTCCCCTGAGCCGGGGGATCCCGGTGCCGCCTCCGGTGCTCGGTGCTCCTACTGCCTCGCTCCACAGAGGTGTCTGCCTCGGCCCGGTTATGACTCCAGTCCGCTAGCCGCTGCCGCCACCTCCCTCTACCCCTGCCTCCCGCACTCCCGGGCCGGGCCCCCTCCCCCCGCGCCGCCGGCCGCCTGCTCCCTCCTCCTCCTCCTCTCCTCACTCCTCCCTCCCTCCTCCTCCTCTCTCCCCCCTCCCTTCGCGGGCGCCGACGCGCAATGCATCAAGGGACTTGTAGTCCGTCCGGCGACCGCGGAAAGGGGACCGCATAGGCCTCCGGAACTTCAGTTCCCAGCAAGCCGAGGAAGGGCGCAGGCGCACTAAACCGCTCCCCTCCCCCGGGGAGTGGCGGGGAGATTGGGAGCAGAGGGTAGAGCAGAAGAGCGCGCGCAGGTTCCTGGGAAATGTAGGCTGGGCGGGACTAAGAAAGAAGGAAAAGAAGGGATTAGAACTCTCGGCCACCATACTGCCTCTTTCTGCGGCTTTTCTCCCCCCGGGGGACCGCCCCACTTCCGGCCAGACGAAGAAGTGGTTGCTGGGGGATGAAGTTCTCCGGATGATAATGGCTCCCTCCTCCCCGTCTTCTCCCTCCTTCGAGTTCCACCCACCCGCGCGAAGTCTGGTCAAGTGAGATGCAACCGAGGACAGAGTCCTCTGACCAGTTCCCACGCACGATAACCTCTTCCTTAATCCAAGGGCTGTAACAAACTTGGATGCATTTCTCTGAAGAAGGTATTTTCAAACTTTCTCCCCAGGAACCCAAGGTAAAAAAACCAAACCATGTATTTTTTCACATGGGGACCCGTAAGACACGTCTGTAAAACTTTAAGTTTGACGAAATGACACTCGGAGTATTCCATAGCAACAAAAACGCTTTTTTCCCCCCTCAAGGAAAAACTCAACATCAACAGAATAAACCAAATTACTCTCCCTCCAACCTCCACTTTCCCCACCAAAGGACAACTAAAAAAGGAAAAGGGGGCGGGAAGCAACACAAAGCAAAATCCAGTTCAGCTTGGTGGTTTCCTCTTTATTGATGTGCCTCCTACCTTCCCCCCACAATTTCAGTCCCTTCCATCTACCCCCAAAAAAGAAGGTAGTGAAAGGAAGGGAATGTTGGGGTTCTGAGCCCTTGGGCAGTTAGAAAGGGAACAGAAACCAAAACAATCACTGGGTGGGGGTGACAGAGATTGACAACCGAGAAGTCTAAAGCAGAGTGGGAAAGCTGGTAAGAGAAAGGGGAGAGAGGAGAGGTCTGAGAGGCCACCTCCCCCGGAGCCCTCCGGCTAAGAAGGGCTGGAGGAGAGCCTCAAACTTTAGGAAGTGCAGGTCCTGAAGAAGGGAGGTGGTGGTTGAGCCCAGAGGAGGAGTAGGTCAGGGAAGGGGGGCCACCTCTTTGTAGAATGAGACCCCCCCACCTCAGGGGCAGCAGCTTTGCAGACCGTAGACACTTTCATCACTGTAGGCGATGTACAGAAAGAAGTCTTCTTCGTGGTGCTCCTGGGGTGGAGGCAGAAAAGGCTGACTGGGCTGTAGCTACCTGAACCACCCACTTCCCAGACCCATTCTTCACAAGCCCCTTCCTCTGAAGAGCCCCCAAACCCTCGGGCCCTGGCCCACTCCCTCACTTGCTCCAGGACTGAGCAGCCAAGCCTATTAGCCCTAGCAGCAGTCCTGGGCAAAAAGATCTCAACTGTTCTCTGATGCCCTGGGGGAGGGGGACTGGAGAAGAGGGAGGATCAGAACCACAGCTAGGGCTCACTGTTTCCTCCCTCCTCTCTACTCCTACTTGTCCAAACCTTCAACCCGGAACTACCCCAAAATCTTGAAGTCAAAGATAAAACTGAGAGATAAACAAGGTGCTTCTCTAAGAACTGCTGACCTGAAACTCTTTTCCCCTCAAGCTCTTCCCACGCCTCTCCAAAGTCTCGACCCCTCCCGCCGCCATACCTGGTATAGCTGACCCATTGTGGCACTGGTGGGTGGAATGACATTGTTGACAAAGAAAAACAAGGCATCCTCAGCTCGGAGATGAATTCGCTTCCGGATCAAGAAGTAGAACTGACCAACTGCCAAAGAGAGAAGGTATGACAAAGTCCCAGAGGTCCCAAATGGCCTCAAACAACAGTCACCGTGCGGAGCCTCTTCCCGCAGAGACTGCACTCCCACCCGCAGGAAAGCAAACCCGGACCTTGGGACAGGACCGCACCTGTGAGATCAGAAGGCACCAGGTATTTCTTTTTGTCCAGGTCTCCTATCCGAGCTTTAGGAGCCTTTTCTACTATCACCTGATAAAGAGAAGATGAAAATTAAGAAACACTGAGGGGACAGCCGCACAGTTACACCTGTCAGGAACTCAAGTAACAAAATTCTAAGCACCCAAGCCCACCCGACTCGTCTCTCTTTGTCTCCGAACACGCGGAGCAGCCTCGAGTCGAGATCATGACCCCACTGCGTCGGACTCACCTAAACATCCACGATAGCCCAGCAGGGCGTCCTAATAAACAACTCTCTTAACCAGGCAGGGATGACTCGTCTGGGCGGACTAGAGCGTCCATCCCAAGAACCCAGCTACCTGAGGGGGGATGGCCATGTGCAGCTCAGGCTGTCAACCTCCCTGCAGCCTACCACACCGCTCCCCGCGTCTCTCCCTGCCAGCCACGTCCCCTCACCCCCAGCTCGTCCGCTGCCCCACTCCGTTCAACCGCGGGTCACAGCCACAGCAGCTTCGGGCCCGCTCCCAACCCAGCTACCGCCCGGCAGCCCGATGCCCGCGCTGCGCGGCCGGACCCCAACCCCGGGCTGTGGCGTCAGAGCCAGCGCCCCGCGCCCTCGGCCCTGGCTACGGTCCTCACCGGAACCCGGTCCGGGTATTTCTTTCGGATCTTCTCGCCCTCAGAGCGGCGTTTCTCGAACGGATGCTCCTCTTTATACACGAACTTCATCCTCCCGGGAACCGGGCTGGACCGGGCTGGGCTGCGGGAACCCGGGGGGGGGGCCGGGACGGGGGGCGGCGGCGACGGCGGCGACGCGCGGGCGGACTCAGCGGAGCGATCCCGAGACTTGCGCCACTTCCCTATTCACCAACCCCGCCCCCGACCGTGCGGGGCCGCCCCGCCTGCTAGGTTACGCCACTAGCGCAGCGGCCCGGACGCCGCCAGCGTAGCACCGCCTACGGACGGCCCCCTTCACGCCGCCTGCGTAGTCGCTTTGGAACCAACTTGTGGACTACGCAAGCGACGTAGCGAAGGTGGTTAGCTTGTGCTATGCTCGAAAATAACTGAAAACCCACACTCCGACCTTCCCCCAGCGAGCTAGAGACCCATAGGGTTAGGAGCTGCTAATTATAACGGGAGGCTTGGTTCTCCCGAAGTTCTTTTCGGAAACGAGATGAGAGGAGGGAGGATGGGGGAGGCAGAGGTAATTATGAGCCTAGCTATTCACGAAACGCGCTGGTACGCCGAAGGCGGGCGCTGACACCAAAACAAAGTAGTGCCCAAACGGGAGAGCTGGGTCTCCGGAAGGAAAGGAGGGCAGAAACGAAACACCTGTCCGGTGAAGCGCACACAACGCTTAGGTTCCAAGGAGAAGTGGCAATAGGGGCCGAGAGGAGGTCCGAAAGGCAGGGACTACGTCGGCGCGGAGGAACACCTCCAGGCCCGTGCCGGCAAAAAATCATGTGATCTCGGAGAAGGGCGGAGCGTCACGTGGCGGCCGCGGGAAGTAGAGCCGGCTGCGGGGAGGGAGGGGCGCCGAGACGGGGGAGGGGGAGGGGGCGGAGCCGGCGGGAGGCGGGCGCGGGCCGAGGGCTGAGGCTCCCGCCGCCTGCGGGCAGCGGCCGCCGACTGCCGGCCCAGTCCACGTCGGTGCCCCGGCGTCCCGCCTCTCCGGTTTCTGGTCCAACTTTCTCCTCCCTTCGTACCGCTGTGTCCTACTGCCCCGCCCCTTAAGTTCCCTCGGGACTGACAGCTGTCCTTTCACTCCCCAGCAGGACACCCATCCTGTGGCCAAGTCCCTTCCCGCCAAACGGTCTGAGGTCAAGGTTCCTGCTCCTTCCCCCAAAGCCAACAGCACCTCTCCCCGAACCTCGTCCCTGCTGCAGTCTTTCTCCACCCGCCCCACCCCCGGCCCCGCCCCGCCAGGGGACAGGGTGGATGTGAACAAAGGCTCCTCCCCTCATTTCCCAACCCGGAGAGAAGGACCTAGGGCAGCTTCGGTTTCCAAAGTTATAATGCATGGTTTAAAAGAGAGGAAAGAAAAAAAGAGAGAAAGAGAGAGAAAGCTGGTTACAGGTCTGAGGGAATCTAGGAAGAAGGGAAAATAGAGGGAAAAGGTGGGGGGGACACGTTGGGGGAAAATCCAGTGGCCCAAAAATCCCAGTTTCCCACCCACAGCCCAGCCCTTGGAGTGAAGAATTAGATCAGTTTTGTACAAGAGTTTTTAAAAAATCAAATCACAACAAAGCTGGCTTGGCTTTTCTTTGAGCCTCGCGGTTACCGAATGTCTGTCTGTCATTCTGGCCAGTCCCGTCTCTCCACCAGACATCGGCTCTCCTAGGCCTCCGCTTATGTCCCAGTCTGGGGTTTCCAGGGAGTGCGAACGCGAAGTTAGAGTGAGGCTGCTTCAGAGTCTGGCCCACGTGTCCATCCAGACTCCATGCGGAGTGCAGGGCTCCCAGGGCAGAGAGGGGCGGGAATGGCAGACCCTGCCCACACAGTCCTCACCACTGGACAGGGCGTCAGACGGCATCCCGAGGGCTCACCCTCCCTTCCCCCCCACCCCGACTCAGGTGGAGGGGGAGCAGCTGTCACCAGAGCCTGTGTTGGTGAAGGTTTCGGCTCAGCACAGAACGAACATCCGCGGTGAACCTGGGACGACAATAACTTGAGTTGGCGGCGCCCTCAGAGTGGATACCCTCACAACACTGGTGTCAGGCGGCCTCATGGGAGATGGGGGGCCGGAAATTATCACCATTTTCACATGAAACTGAGGTCCAATGTGCCCAAAAACCCACTGGCTAAAAGCGATGAGCTTTACTGTAAGGAGTCCTGGGTTCAAAAGCTAAGTTCTTAAGGGAAAAGAGGTAAATGAGTCAAACAGGACACATTTTTATTCCCTCTTGGGATTCCCCCACCTCCTTTCATCAGAGATCTAAGTGTCTGACTTCCCTTACCTGAGCGCATCCAGCATCGGAAGCAAGTTGAGAAGGGCAGTATCACTGGGGTCACTGAACCACGATTTGATGGGGATGGCGTTGTCTAGGGCGGGTCAGATGGATGCACGTGAGAATAAACAAAGTTCAAGAGACAGGCTGATTTTTCTAGCTAGGGTGGGGATCATTCCCTTAAAACATGTTCCTCTCCTGACCCACCCAAACCCAGCAACCTAAGTAAAACCTTCCTCATTCAGCCTCCAAAAGGAAAATCAACTTTTAATCACCGTATCTCATGGGAGCATGTGGCTTCTAGACCACTGTGTCAGGGAAGCAAATGTGGGGGGAGCAGCCCGATCTATGAAACGGACGTGTGGGGGAGGGGCACCATCTCAGGAGCAAGGGAAACACCTCGCATCCTGACCCACAGTAAACCAGGAATCCCAGCTCCAGGCTTTCCGAATCCCTCCTCAAAACCACTTCCCAGTCTGCCAGACCCGCCTCCTCGTCCTGTACCTGGGTGGCTCCTGTAAGCCCCTGGGGAGTTATCCAGGATCACGATGCTGGAGAGGTCGCTGTGGACCACAGAGAGGTCCTTGATGTAGCTGCCCAGTTCCAAAGTGCAGTGCTGGAAGGTAGGGCGAGCTGGGCATCAAGGGGAGACCCGTCTCCCCCATGACCATGGCCCGGTCCCCACGACGCCCGGGGTGGCTAACTCCCACCAAGGGGGTGATGCCGCACGCCTCCCCTGGCCCCCCCAGAGGGTCCCACTCCAGGACAGAGCCCTGCGTGCGGGGCCACGCCTTACCTGTCTGTAGTATCTGCGCTTGAGAATGCTCCTGCTGTTGTCTAGTTTGTCGGCCACCGCAGAGCCGTAGATCTCCATGCTGGCTGTGAACACCACCAGCTCGTACCACTGACTCACCTGAAATTGAGGAGGGGAGAGGGAGGTGTCGGTTCTAGACACTCGGTTCTCTTTCACTAGGACTCCAGCCCAGTCCCGCGGGCCTCTCTAAATTCTGAAGGCCCCCACGCTCCGAGTCTTGGGCACCGCACGCCGTTAAGACACAAAGCTGCATGAACAGACGATCAGGCAGCCACGGAAGGACAGAATTACATCCGCACAGCACGCGAACCCAAGCTCCCGGAAGCCATCCAAGCTCTCACTGTCCCACAACCTCCCCTCTCCAAAACCGCCTGCACCCCTTTCTCTTCGGCCCCTACTTCCTGTGAGCCATCTGATTCCCCAGAACCCTAAAACCATTCCTTCCTCACAGAGTTCCCCTTAGTTTCTGCGAACTCACCACTTCTAAGAAAAAGTCCACGTGGGGCCTCTTATGTACAAAAAACCGGACGGGATGTTTGTCTATGACCACCTGTGGAGCAACAGGGAAGGGCGGGGGTGTCCTGAGCACCAGAGCACAGGCTGAAAGGACACTCGCACCCTCCCACTGCCCACTCCCCTCCTTCAGGGTGCCACTGGTGCCAGAGGACGGGCGCAGGGACCAGACGCTCTGGGACTGGGAAAGGAAGTCCGGGTCGGAGCGGAGCAACAGACAGGACCATCCCATTGCTTCCCATCCCGCACACACCTTAAGGATGAAGTCAGGAGGCGTTCCAGGCCGGACGGTGGGCCTCAGCACCCCATCGTGATGGGAGTGGATAAGCGTCTCATCCAGATCCAGCACCAGGATCTTCCTCTTGACCTGACCTGAACCACAACGCGAGGGGTCAACCTCCAGCCCACACCTTGAACCCTACCACACCTTCCAGGGGTCTTCCCAGCCAGCATACTCACCTAGCCGATTCCGGGACACAGGAGATAAGGGGAGGATATCATATCGAACAGTCTGATACTGAATTACCTAAAAATAGCGAAGGAGGGGATGGAACCCTCGTCAAGGAGATCATGCCAAGGAACACTTGCTGTGTGCTGGGCATCGTGCAAGTCAATGAGGGCTATTTCACTGAACCCTCCAAACCCTCGTAGGAGTAACATAAGACAAACAACATCATCATCTCTATTTAAACACGGAAAAGCCCAAGGCTTAGGCGGGACCATGTATCTTATTTGGTCGTCTGTCCCCCCCACCCCCCGTTAGAGTGGAAACTCGGCGAGAGCATGCGTGTCGTCTCCATCACGCCTGTCCTCTGAGAACTCTGTCACAGGACGGCCGGTTGGTATCAGGGTCAATGTGGTGGGGGTACGAGGATCGCACCCATGCCGTCGGACCCCAGCCCCCACTCTCTTGGCTAGGACACTGTCGTGCTATGCCACAACAGAGCAATGCATGGCCCTTCGCACATCCACCCCAAGGTTCCTTTGTCACGACTCCCATCACCTCCCTTTGGGACCCGAGAGCGGCAGATTCCTTCATGGGCTGAGAGGAAGAGTCAGGGGAGGAGGTCCTTGGGTACCTAAGGGGAAGGCAGGATGAGGGAATCTAGGGGTTGTCAGGTCAGCTAAGTTCCCCTGGCTGGGGGCCACCAGACCTATTTTAACCAGCCACCTGTCCGCTTCTGTCTCTACCAGCCAAATCACAAGTGGCACAGGACCTCAGGCCTCTGACCTGCCTCCTTATTCCGGAACCCAGGGCAGGGTGCACAGCACTGCAAAGCCCCATCTGCCAGCATGACGGATGGGGTGTTGGGAAGGCTGGGGTGAAGTAAGGGCCGTGAGGGAGGTGAGGAAGGGACAAGGACGTCACCACCTCAACCTTCCAGCTTCTCCAGGGCTCCCCTAGAGGCTCCTATTTCTAGCACCCAGATCTCCCTCACCCAAGCCTGGCCATCCCTTCCTCTGCTCTCCTCTGCTCAGCACAGACAGATGCCCTGCTGTCCATCCCCAGGCCCCAGCCTCAACTGAACGAGGCAACCCCCTTACAAACCACGGGGCCCTCTCCCCCTAATGCCAAGGCATCTGCCCTTTTCTCCCTGGGCCGGGATGAGGGCCGCAATGGGGGCCGCGACAGCTCGGGTGTCCTGCCCTGCTATCTCGGGTTGCACATGCTGGGCATGAAGGGAATGCTCTGAGCATCTGCCAGAAAGGGTGTGGGGGTGGGGGGAGACACCAGATTGGAAGGGAAGACAAAAGGCTGCAGGGTCGGCGCTGCCCAGAGGAGACCAATTTTGCAAGTAACTAGCACCTGGATAAGCACCCAGAACAGAAATTTGGTGGGAAGGGGCTGGGCTCGGAGCAAGGCCAGGCAGAGAGCACAGCAGTTAATGTAAGAAGAAAACCCAAGGAGCTAGCCCCATACACATCGCAGCATTTCCGACCCCAAGTTCTTCTTGGCTGTTAAGGGGTTTCAAGGAAACAGCCCTGCCTACAACTATGACCACCCAGAAACAATCCTCACCCTCAAGTCAGGAAGTGATAGAGGAGACACCAAATTCAAGGCCAGGCCCACTCCCCCAAGTCAGTAAGTCAACCGCCACTGCCACCTCCCCGGCCACCACCCAGGGCTCTCTGGAAATTGTCCGGCCGAAGCAGGCCCTAGCTGCTTTTATTCTGCCAAGTTTTATTGAGGGATGCCAAAGAGGACAGAGCAGAGAACTTCTGCACCTCGGTGTACTAAACCCTCCCCAGACTCCTTTCAGAGGACTCTCCCCAGTGGCGAGAACACAGGAGCACATTCACTACATGATAGTGGGCTCTGGCTGGAGCTTTGACCTTGGGGAAAAGCTCAGGGGGAGGGAACCCAGAGATACCGGGGTACTTCACTGCCCACAGTGTCCCTCACCATGCTGGGGTCTCCCGGGGAAGCAAGCGTGCCCTCCAGCGCACGTCCAGCACTGACAGGCACCCGTCTTCCCAGAGAGACACCCGAACTTTCACGGGCTCCCTTCCCTCCAGCCCGATGTGAAAGCATCTCTCTTGGTCCCAGGGTCTTGACAAAACCGGATACCCACACGAGTTTCCAGGGCCTTTCTGGAGGAGTCCCCTTAATGTGACCCGCCGCGGTTTCTCCTCACACCCCAGGCTTCCCCTGAGTTCCCCTCCTCGTTGGTCACACACGCTTTCCCACCCACCCCTACCCTTGACACATAACCCGGGCTCTTCCCTGGTAGGAGACCTAACGCACGGAGGGTCTTCCACAAGCCCACGTCGGCAGGGTTGGTGCCATCAAACAGGTGTTCCCTCCTTTCGGTTTCTCTAACAACTCCGGTTTCCTAAACGGCGCCCCACCCACCACCCTGGCCCCCAAAAGTTGACAAACCCTGTCCCCGACAAGCACCCCCATCTCCGTTCTACTACAAGGGTCTCCCCCACTCCCCATTCCGCCCCAGGCCCAGCGAAGGGTGCCCCAGGTCTCTAACGGGAAGAGCCGCCCCGGGGACTCCGTTCCGAAGCCCAAACAGAGGCCCGACACTTTGCGAAAACCCGTGAGCACCGCTGACAGAGCTTCCCACCACCACCAGCGCCCACCGCAGCTCACCGTGCGGATCTGCCTCCGCAAAAGGTAAATGAAGAAGCTCCAGAGCTTGGCGGCGAAGGCCACGAACGTGCGCAGCCCCAGCAGACACTGCGTCCGCATCATTCCGATGACCCCGGCACCGCCGGCCCCGGGGCCCCCGCGGCCCAGCTCCGCCAGCCCCCCGGGGGCAGCCCCCCGCCGCCGGGAGGGGGAACGGGGGCCCCGAGTGGCAGGAAAGGCTGCAGAGAGGGGCGCGGAGCGGGCGGCTCAGAAAGCCACCCCCGGCGAGGGGAAAGCCCAGCGGAACCGGGAGCTGGGGGACAGGCGTGGGCAGCCCGCGGGGGCCCACATGGGCGGGGAGTGGCACCGACGGCTTCGCGGAGGTTGCGGGCCCAGACAGGTCAGGCTAGGACGGGGTCCTCCGAGACCGGGAGGGAAGGGGATGGAGAATTGGGGGAGGGGGCAGTGGGGGAGGGGACCGGGGAGAAGGGAGGGAGGGAGAAGGGAGGGGGAGGGGAAGGGGGAAGTGGAGGGTGGCCCGCTGCGCAGGCGCGCTAGGGGGCTGCCCGCGGGAAAGGGCGGGCGGGGGCCGCGGCGGGCGGAGGGCCGCGGCAGCGGAGAACGGGCCGCTGAGCGAAGGAGCGGGGAAGGAGGGGGAGGGGGAGCCGGAGGGCGCGGACGGCTAGGCCGAAGCGGCCTCCCCCTCCCCGAAGTCGGGGGTGCCTTAGCCGCTGGGGAGCGGGGCTGCAGCCTCTGCAGCTGGATTTCCCACTCTGACAGGCGCCATTTTACCGCCCTACGGGCTCCCTCCTCCTTTCTTCCCCCCTCTTCTTCCCCTCTGACACTACTTCCGGTGGTGACGTGTATTCGCTTCACCCGGACTAAAGTTCCCCCTCCTCGGTCTAAGGGGGCGGGTGAGGAAAAAGAAGTGAGCTCCCCGCGAGGCCGCAGTACCGCGCAACCGCGGAAGGCGGGGGCGGGGCGGGGCCTGGGAGTGAACAGGCCCCGCCTTGAGCGGCGTGGGCGGGGCGGAATGACGTTCCTCGCGGCCGAGGTTGGGCCGTCGGACGGGCTCGTGCGGCCTCCTTCCCCGCCCACCGGCAACTGCCCCAAAGGCTCTTCCGGCCCTAGTCGTGCAAAAAAATGTGAAGTGTCTGTGCTCCGGGACTCGGGAGGGGCCCCTCCACGTGAGGGGACCCGCCGGGATGTTGAACATAATCGACTCATTCCAGATGAGGCCGGGTGTCGGTGGTGGGAGGATTCATGGTGTCCCGCCCCTTTGCCCTGAGGGGGGCGGGTCAGCAGGCCGTGACGTCATCAGAGGGCGCCGGAGAAGGGACCGGCGCGGATTGGAGATGGAGTCGGTGCTGGCTCTGGGCGGGCTGGTGCTGCTGCGCGGTGAGGGCCAGAGGCGCAGGGGCTTCCGAGCCGGGCTTCCGGGGCGAAAACGGAGAGGAAGAGCCATGTGTCCCAGGCGAGGGGTGGCCTCCAGGGGCTCGTGAGGACGGAAACCTCCGCTTTCTCACGCTTTCTATCGTCCCCCGCTCTCCCCAGACTCCGTGGAGTGGGAGGGGCGCAGTCTCTTGAAGGCGCTGATCAAGAAGTCTGCACTGTGGTGAGTGTCGCCCAGCTTGTCCCCGGGGTCCCCGGGGCAGAGGGGGAGGCCCGGGCCCGACTCGGTGACACGCTCCATCTCTGCCTCAGTGGGGAGCGGGTCCACATCCTGGGCTGCGAAGTGAGCGAGGACGAGTTCCGTGAAGGTTTTGACGCCAGTGTCAACAGCCGGTACGTTTGGAGCGGGCGCATTCCGTGTAGGGGTCTCCTGGGGAGTCCGCGGGCAACAGCAAGCGCAGAACCCGGTGTGTACTGGCGGCCGCTCAGATGCGCATTGAGTGAACGGATGTGGGTCTTTCCGGAGGCGCAGATTCGTAAGGGACGAGCAGTGTGAGTATCTGAAGAATCCAGAGCTTGGCCCGGAGAAGTGGAGAGGAATAGAGCGCGATAAGAGGCCGATAAGGCACCCCTGACTTTGCGTCAGGGGATAAGAGTAAATACATTCTGGGGCACCTGGCTGGCTCAGTGGGCAGAGCCTGCTACTCCGGACCTCAGGGTTGTGAGTTCCGGCGCCACGTTGCGTGTAGAGGTTGCTTACAAGTAAAACTTTAAAGAATAATAATAATAATAATAATAATAGTAAGTAAACATTCTGCTTTTTTGTCACTCACAATCTCATGGTACTTTATCCAGACGTGGATTCCAGAGTTGTGCCAGCCCTAGCTGCAAGTTCCTGAGCAATTTGTCCTGGAGGCAGAGGGACGAGCCTGTGCACATTTGGGCACGTGGGTGAAAGCGTGCTGTTTGTGGGAGGTGGGAGAGCTGCTTGTGTCGAGACAGATAAAAAGGCACCTCATAGCACAAGGTCTTACAGAGCGGGAAGGGGGGTTTAGACATTATCCTAAAAGTGGCGAGAGTCATTTTGGAATTTGGGAGGAGAGTGATAACAGCCGGTGTGGAGAAGCATCCCGAGTGGAGAAGGAGGTTAGAAAGGGGCAGCCTGGGGGCGCCTGGGTGGCTCAGTGGGTTAAGCCGCTGCCTTCAGCTCAGGTCATGATCTCAGGGTCCTGGGATCGAGTCCCGCATCGGGCTCTCTGCTCAGCAGGGAGCCTGCTTCCCTCTCTCTCTCTCTCTCTGCCTGCCTCTCTGTCTACTTGTGATCTCTGTCAAATAAATAAATAAAATCTTTAAAAAAAAAAAAAAGAAAGAAAGAAAGGGGCAGCCTGGAGACAGACCCGGGAGGGCGGGCTGCTGGCAGTTTTCTAGGTACACTCAGGCACATATGCGCTGAGCTCCGGTTATGAAACGGGTGCTGCAGTAGGTGCAGGGAATGAGACAGGAGTGGTGCCCGCCCTAATAAATCCCAGGGAGTGGTGTTAGGAGGTGACAGGGGTTTGCTGCTTAAGATAGTAGCAGTAAGGATAGAGAGTTTAGGACAAACGTGAAAGGATTCTAGCAGGTAGAATTTCCAGGACTTACAGACTGCTATGGGGGAAGAGGTCAGGAGGCTCCTGAACCCACCTGGGTGCCTGGTTAAAGACTCCTCTCTGGTCTGGATAGCTCAGTGGGAATCACACCTGTCCGGCGCTAAGTTTGTATCAGAGGTTGTGACGGGTTATGTTAAGGCATTGATAAGAGAAGCAAAAGATAGAGAGGAGGGGTCCGGAACAAGTTTGGCCACCATGAATCCTGCCCCGGGACTTCTAAGCCATGCCACGCTCCCTTGCCTGCACTTGCCGTTACTGTTTTATTGGAAGGTGATGCCACGCAACTTAGTTCTTGACCGTCTCGAAGCTGTTCTGCTAGCAGGAACCACAGGTCCTGTCTTCTTTTCTCTGTTCCTCCAGGGAACAACACTTAGGAAATATTTGATGATGATGATAGCTGACATTTACCGAGTATTTGCTGTGTGTCAAGCGTTATTCTAAACATCAAGCAGTTAGTATCCCTATTCCCCAGTTGAAGAAACTGGGCCTTAGTTTAAGTAATTTATGAGTCAGGTGACCTTAGGTCCGTAGTAAAGCCAAGCTTGGAGCTCAGGGCTTTCTGACACCAAAGTCTGTGCTTTCAAACGCTATGTTGTATTTCTTGGTATCCTTTTCACTGATATTTAGGATATCAAGTCAGAAAAGTAGAGCCCCGAAGATCACAGGGTGAAGTTCAAGATTGAGAGGAGGGGGCAGTGTTAAGTGTTACGTTGTGTCCTGTTTTCCCTTTGCAGGCTGATTTACCATGACCTCTTCAGAGACCCTCTCAACTGGTCTGGGGAGGCCCTTCCGGGGGGACCCCTGGGAGCCTTGCAAGCCATGTGCAAGAGGACGGATCGTGGTCCTGTCACCATCGCTCTTGATTCCCTGAGCTGGCTGCTGCTGCACCTTCCCTGTCCCGCACTCTGCCAGGCCCTCTGTGCCCTCAGCCAGCAGCACTCCCGCCCTGGTGAGACTCCTTCATTCTTCTCGTATACCTTCCCCTGCCAAGGAGCAAGCCCCTTTCCAGCCTAAGAAAAAACATGTTAGAGATCTCCGGTTGGGCCTTATAACATCAATTTGTTGTCTGTCTTCCGTCCCGACTTTACCATGATGCCACTTACCAATCACTTTACTATTTCTTTTCCAAGTTCTTTCTTACCTGTTTCATTCATTCGCGCAACAGATAAGAATTACGCAACGTGGCAGGTACAGTTCTAGATGATGGAAAGGTAAGGACTAGCTATAGTCAGATTTTTGTTCAAAGTCCTGTAGAGGATACAGACAGGTAAATAAGCAATTATGATAGTCTGATAACAGCCGTGATGATAAAGGAACAAGCACAGAGTGCCTTCGGGAAAGAGCTGCCTGGAAGAGCAGGCCAACTGGGGCAGACCAGGGGCCCTGGGAGTAGCCCTGAAGTAGACTGTGGATTCTCCAGTGGGCTTTCTGGAGTCAGACGCCCAGCCTTGTGTTAAGGTGTCTAATCTCCCAGGGTTTCAGTTCACTCTAGAAGCAGGAGGGAGAGGGAGGGTGCGTGCTCAGTGGGCTAAAGCCTCTGCCTTCAGCTCGGGTCATGATCTCAGGGTCCTGGGGTAGAGCCCCACATTGGGCTCTCTGCTCAGCGGGGAGCCTGCTTCCCCCTCGCTGTCTCTGCCTGCCTCTCTGCTCACTTGTGGTCTCTGTCAAATAAATAAAATCTTAAAAATATTAAAAAAAAAAAAGGCAGGAGGGAGGGTGAACAGGTAGTATTAGGGTGAACCATTAGTCTGTGTGGGTAGGTCAGATGTGCACAGATGTCAAGTAATAGCAGTTTAATGTGGTTCAGCCTAAAAATGCTGGCCTCCGTAGGGACTGAAATGTGACAATATATGGTGCAGTGCCTAACACTTTGTCAGTGTGCCCAGAAAGGGAGAAAGAAAGGGAAGGAACCAAAGGCGTTGACTGGGATCACAGCGTAAAGTTCCCAGACCTGCAAGGAGTTCAGTGTGTAAGAGACTGAAGCTGGGCGGTAGGCAGAGAGCAGGTAAGGAAGGGGCTGACTCCATCCCGAGGAGCTCCCGAGCAAGGAGCTCCCGAGGACTGAAGTCCGAGTGAGCCGTGTTCAGATTCGCAGTAATAAGGTGAGGGCAGGAGTCTCCAGGACTGCGAGACCAGCCAAGGGAGGTCAGCCCCGGCAGAGCCGTATGGGATGGCGCCTCATCTCCCATGCGTTTCCATCCTACGCCTCCGTCCCACATGTTCCCTCCTGCCCTTCACGCCCCTCCCTCCTTGTCCCTCCAGGTGGCAGCTCCCCAGTAGAGCCTGTGCGAGTGCTCGGCCTGCTGCACGAAGAGCTCCATGGCCCAGGCCCGCTGGGAGCCCTGAGCAGCCTGGCCCAGGCTGAAGTGACCCTGAGTGGGACCATGGGCCAGGCTTCGGCCCACATCCTCTCTTGGAGGCCCCAACAGTGCCCAGCCCGTCAGGTCAGGAGAACCTTAGGGAAACACAGAAGGTCAGGGTCACACAGAAGGGGAAAGAGCTGATGTGAGGGGCACTTCCCGGTGTGTCGTCGTTTCCCTCATTGAATCTTCATGGGTGGCCCGTGAGGTGGTTTTATTCTCCCCATTGAGTGGCTTGGGGAAGGTTCCCCACAGTTCCAGAGAGGATGTGGTAGAGCCAGCATTTGAACTCAAAGATGGCCTGACTCTGATCCCATGAGCTTAATAACCAGGGAGAACTGTCACCTTCCAAGAAATGGCAAAGGACAGGGGGCGGCTGGGTGGCTCAGTGGGTTAAAGTCTCTGCCTTCGGCTCAGGTCATGATCCCAGGGTTCTGGGATCGAGCCCCGCATCATCGGGCTCTCTGTTCAGCAGGGAGCCTGCTTCTTTATCTCTCTCTGCCTGCCTGTTTGTCTACTGGTGATCTCCATCTGTCAAATAAATTAAAAAATCTAAAAAAAAAAAAAAAAGAAGAAGAAGAAATGGCGAAGGACAAAAGCCTGGGAGCGGTCCCTGGGGGAGAAGGCATGAGTTCCGATGGGAGAGGTCTGAAGGAGGGCTGAGGAGGCACCAGCAGGAGCTGCGGGCCCCTCGTTACACAGATGCTGTTCCGTCTGAGTTCCTTTCCCTGCTTTGCTCCGTAAGATGGAAAACACCTTTCTGTTCCTACTCTGTCTTCTCCGCAGACCCAGTGGTTCTCCATCCTGCCTGACTTCAGCCTGGACCTCCAGGGAGGACCCCCGCTAGAGTCCCAGCCCCACCCAGAGCCTCACACACCCCCGGTATCTAAGGGTGCTGGGGCCAGAACAAGGGAATGCGGGGGTGGGGTCGGGGATTCCAGCCATGAGCAGAGCGGAAGCATCCTCTGTACCTCCAGGTGGACCCCACAGCTCATGTGACTTTCAACCTGCACCTGTCCGAGAGCGAGCGAGCAGCCAAAGACAGCCTGACGTTGCCCTTCCAGTTCAGCTCTGAAAAGTAAAGCTAGGGGCTGGGCACCCTGTTCTTGGGTAGAGCCTGGCCTGGGATGGGACGGGAGGGCCGGCAGGTTATCGGTTAACCTCCCAGACTTTATAGGGGCTGAAGTCCACCTCCCGAGAGGAGTCTGGGGAGTAGTTCTCTATCCACTCTTCCTCCCAACCAGGCAAGAGAGCCTTTGTGTCTCTCTTCTCTCCAGGAGAGCCTTGGGTCTCTGACCAGCCCAGACCAGACCCTGGGGAAGTTTCCAGGCAACAGTGTTGGGAGGACAGGAAGCTGGATGGGTGTGGTGGGCAGGTTAATAACGGCCTCACTCTGCACGTGTTCTCTGCCTGCTGTGTGGGTGGGTAAAGCAAGCCGGCCAGGATCCTTGCCCTCAAGCTCTGAGAACGGGAGGCGTCATTAGGAGAGCGGTCCAAGAATGTCCCAGTCCAGGTGGCGCTCCGGCACCAACCGAACAGGGAGGTCAGAGAAGGAGACTTGGACCAGGGAGCTATGGAGGGACAAAGAAGAGGGGGTCTGTCACCAGAAAGGGAGTATGTAGACATGAACCCCAACCCCTCCCTCACCAGCCCCCATTCTCCCCTTCTCCTTCCTCAGACAGCAGGCTTTGCTGCGCCCTGGGCCCAGGCAGGCCACCGGCCGCATCTTCTATGAGCCAGACGCATACGACGACCTGGACCAGGAAGACCCAGATGATGACCTGGATGTCTGACTGGCCTGGAACTGGGAGGAGGAGAAAGACCTTGGACCCATAACCATCCTCCCATTGTTTGCGTTGGCCTTGCCCTGTCCCTGTCCCCACCTTTGTTCCCTGGGTCGCAGAGGCCCTGCCCTGTGACCTGTGAGTCAGAGAGTAGCTTCCCCTCAAGACAAAAGGTGGGAAAGGGGCAGTCGGGGAAGGTGAAGAGAATGGGAACCCCTCCCCTCCCTGCCTAATAAAGTATTTTTCTATTGAAAGGAACTTGGGTAGTCACTTAAGCAAGACTGAGGAACAGAAAAGCTGAGGGAAAGCAAGCACCTGAGTCAGGGTTAATAGTGTTGGGGCCCGAATGACAAGGAATGGTGGCACAGGGAGAGCCGTGCACACCACTGATGTTCAATATGGGGTCTATTTTAAGCCAAAGCAGGTACATTTAAAGGTTCCGGGTTCTCTGCAAGGATTTGGGCTGGAAGAAAGCAGAGGCCCTGAAGCGGAAAAAAAGAAGCCTACTTTCCAAAACATACTTTTTTATTACTGTACAAAAAGCACACCCAACACCCCCCCCCCCCTTTGTCTCCCCCCCCCCTCCCCTTACCCCCACCCTGAGGGGAACTGTATGTACACAGTGCGCTGGGCTGGGGTGATGAGGCTTCAGCTCCGCAGCCTGCCCATGAGCTGAGATCTGCCCCAGGTTATTTCTGGTACCTGGGCATACCAGAGGCTGCCCAGCTGGTGCAGGGGTGGTCCCAGCTCACACGTACTCCTTGGCAGAGTTAGGCTTAGGGTAGGAGCGGGGTGCACGGTACCCAGTTTTGTCCTCCCTCCCAGGACAGGAGCAGGAGAGGAGGGCACCTCCCAGGATGACCAGAGCACACCCTGCCCAGCCAATGAAGATGGCAGGACCAAACTCGTACCTACGGAGAGAGGGGGCTGGGGTCAGAAAGCCCACCTTTCCTGACTGGGGAGCCCAGGCCTGGTGTCCCCTTAGGAGGCAGGGCTCCCATACTTACTTAAGATTCATGGGAACCAGTGGGTTATAAAAGTCGGTGACAATCTGGTGGCCGTACCAGGAACATGCTACCAGGGCAGCAAGACCTGGAGAGAGGATGGTTCAGATGTTTTAGCAGACCCCAAACCAGCGCCTTGCACACCCTTGGTCCCGGATGCAGGGCCGAGCTCACCTGCCACGATGAAAATGATCCCTCCAGTCGTGGCTATTCGGGCTTTCTTCACTTTGTCGTCTCCCCCGCAGTTGGTGCACTTCATGCCCATGGTGGCCACGAACATGGCCAGGAAGCCCAGCACCAGGGATACCACCATCAGGGCTCGGGTGGCCTGCAGGGCCGCTGCGGGGAAGGGGGAAGGACGCCCTCATTGCTGGACGTGCGGGCCGCTGGCCTGGGGCCCCTTAGGCGCCCGAGCCCGGGACCGAGCAGGTGAGTCCCGCCCCTCGCGGCTCCACGGCCTTCCCGCCCCGCCCCGCCCTCTCGGCCCTGGGACGCGCCCGGGGCGCAAGGGTTTCGATGAAACTGCCGGGGGTTGGGGGGAGGGGGGACGAGGCCAGCGGAGGCCCGGGGAGGCAGCGAGCGGAGCACCCCCGCGGCCGAACGGTCCGTCCCGCGGCCCAGCGCTGACCCCGCTATCGTGGCCACCGGGTTTGTGGCTTCCGCTAATCGGCCGATAAGATTACAGGCCGCAGGCGGCGGCCCAAGTCTGTCGGACCCAGCGCACGGCTCCCCGGTCGACCCCGCGCCCTCCGCCGCGCGCCGCCTTTTGTCCGGGAGAAAAGGGCGGGAGACGGAGGCCGCCACCTGCGCCGGCCGGCGCCGGAGGAGAGAGCTGGAGGGGGTTGGGCCGCCGGCCGCGAGGGGGGGGGGCACTGGGGAGGGAGGGGGCCCGGCCGGCGGGGGCGCAGGCGGACGTGCAGCCGCTGGAACCCGGACCCGCGGCCGCTTCCGCTTCTTCCTCCCCGCCCGCTCCCCGGCACCCCCGGGCGTCGGGCGGTGGGGCCTGGGGCCCCTTCCCGCTCCTCGCCCCGCGCCCACGGCTCCGGGCGCGTCCGCCCCGGCCGCCCCGCGGCCTTACCGGACAGGGCGAGCACCGAGTCGTACGATTTGCAGCTCATGAGGCCGGTGCTCTGCGTGATGCACTCCATCCACAGCCCCTTGTACATGGCCTGGGCCGTGATGATATTGTCGCCCGCGTACGAACTCATCTGCCACTGTGGGATGGCGGTGCACGCCACCAGGGCCACCCAGCCCAGCAGGGCCATGGCGAAGCCCAGCAGCTGCAGGCCCGAATTGGCCATCTCTGCCCTCAGAAAGACGGGGCGGGCGACCCTGCGGTAGAACAGACAAAGCCTGGGGGGTCGGCCCCACAAAAAGACCACTTGCAGTGGAGTCTCGAGTCACCCAAAGAGAAGGGTTTGGGTCCGGTGATTCCAAATCTTTTTGTCACCCGAAGAAAACACAAACCGATCCTTCTTCCGGCGGGCGAGGGTCTTCAAGCTCAAGGAACAGGTTTCCGCCCGAGGACTGGTGGTCGAAAAAGCGATCGGCGAGGGCCAGGCGGTCCCCCCTGGCGCTCGCGTAGACCCTACCCAAACAAAAGGCGGAGGGGCAGTATGCGCGCGATCACGGGGGCCGGCGGTCCCCAAAGTACCCTGCGCTGTCGGCCTGAGGCTGCCGTGAGAGGGAGAAGTCGCTCAGCCGAGAGCGGGCAGGTGCGGGCGGACAGGTGCGGCGCACCTGAGTATTTGTAGGGCGTCAGGGGCGCGCCCCCGCAGGCACCGGGAGCGCGGGGCGGGCCGGACCGCAGGGGCGGCCGAGAGTGACCTGACGTCACCGAAGGGACACTCACCTGAGCCGGAAGTCCTGGCCCCCACCCCTCCAGGCCCAGGTGAAGAGGAAGAAACCTGAGCGCCAGGGTCACGCCCCTTCTCTTGCCGGGCTGGGACTGCCGGTCGGGGGGAGGTGGAGGCTTCTCCGGAGTTCCGAGATCGGAGTCAGCCCCTCGGGACTGGACTTCCCTTGGGCACCAAGACGCCTCCTCACCTCTCCCCAGCAGGTGCGCCTGGGATACTGCGGAGCTGGCGGGATGCCCCGGGACCCTGGTCTCCGCCTCCCCACCCCACCCCCACCCGCAGGAACTCTTGGTTTCTACTCACCGCGCTCTTTGTCCTGCCCTGCTTTCGCCCCCACCCTCTGCTCTTTTTTTTTTTTTTTCTTTTTTCTTTCCCTCTCTCTAGTTGGCTACCCTAACCGTCCCCAGCTTCGGGAACCCTGGTCCCAACCCTCAGAACTCCCGAGCATGGAGCTTCGGCTGCCTCCCTGGAGTCTCTATTCCCAGAGCCACCACCCTGCTGCCCCTGTCCCTTCCCCTCCAATTGACTCCTGGCTTCCTGGCACCGTGCCCCAGCACCCCATCTTGGCTCTCCATTCCATTCCCTATCCCTGACATAATGCAATGCCCGGGCCCCTTGCGTTCCACCTCCTGCCATCACTATCCGCATCTCCCAGCCTCCTTCCTAGCAAAGCGACAAAAACAGAGGCCAGAAGTCAGCAGAGGGTGGGGAGCGGGGTAAGGCCTCAGTCAGATGCTTGGCCACACCCGCCATTCCCCTCCCTTGGAATCTTTCCAGACCTGTCCTCCACTTTCTCGCTTCCCCGTCCTTCTACCCATACACACGTTTCCCTTTCCTTCCTTCTGAGCCTGGACCTGACTCTGCACACTGTCCTCCCTAACGTCCAGCTCCCCCGTGGCCTTGGCCTCAGCCTTCAGACTCCCACATGGCCTTCGGGCTTCTGCTCGCTCTCCCCAGACTTGTCCCGGCCTCCCTGCGGGCATCTCTTCCAAGCGTCTCCATTCACTCACCCTCCCTCTGAGTCTGCCTTTCAGTCCCTTCTCTGCCCGGGAGCCCAGCGACGCCACATCCCTGTCCCCTCACCCAGAGCCCTCCTGACCCACCTCTCCTTCACTCTCTGACTCACACCTTCCCATCTTCTTCTTCCTTTCTCTCTCCTTTTGCCCTCAGCTCTCTCCCATTTCCCGTTTTTCTTCCCCCTCTCAACCATTTCTCGATAAGGCTCTCCTTTTCTGCAGTAAAAATATTAAAGGGACACGGCACTACGCGAATTACCCTGCTCTTCTAATGCGGACTTTAATGAATTATCTGTCATTTGTTTTTAGTTTTCTATTTTTTTGACTAATGGTGAGTTGTTGTGTTTTTTGTTGTTTTTTATTTTTATTTTTCTATTTAAAGGCTTTTTTTTTTAGGTTTTTATTTATTTATTTATTTGACAGAGATCACAAGTAGGCAGAGAGGCAGGCAGAGAGAGAGGAAGGGAAGCAGGCTCCCTGCCGAGCAGAGAGCCCCATATGGGGCTTGATCCCAGGACTCTGGGATCATGACCTGAGCCAAAGGCAGAGGCTTTAACCCACTGAGCCACCCAGGTGCCCCTGTTGTTTTTTTAAGGTGCTGTCCGGCTCCAGAATTTCATGCTTCTTGTCCCTGCACTATACCCAGCTCGTCCCCAAGCTCGCAGCTGCCCCCCAGGCCGGCCCACCGTCTCCGCCCCTGCCTGCACACCGAAGTTGCCTCCAAAACCACATCCCTGCTTCCCTGCTTGTCCTTCTAACACCCATTCTCCTGAAGCGAACATCTGTTTGTTTGTTTCAAACTTAGGTCTTGTCACTTTCCATTTAAAATCCTTAAAATCTGGGGCACCTGGGTGCCTCAGTGGGTTAAGCCTCTGTCTTTGGCTCGGGTCGTGGTCCCAGGGTCCTGGGATTGAGCCCCGCATTGGGCTCTCTGCTCAGCGGGGGGCCTGCTTCCCCCCCCTCTTTCTGTCTGCTACGCCCCCTGCTTGTGCTCTCTCACTCTCTCTGTCTCTCAAATAAATAAAATCTCTGTGCCTCTGCCACCCTGGCCTTCTCTCTGCTCCTGACGTGTACGACTTCCCTTCCCACCAAGTGCCCTTCACACACTCTGTTCCCTGTGTCTGGATGTTGTCCTGCGTGCACCTCCACGCGCCTCCCTCTACCTGGCTAACTGACCGGTCGCCTGGTGGCGGTGACAGTGGCGATCAGCTCAAATATCACCTCTGCGGGGAAGCCTGGCCTGACCATCCCGCCCCACACTGAGTCACAGCACCAGCTGAATGCTCTCCCTCGCCACTATTTAAGCCTTAACTTGGAAAGTTCTTATCACAGTTCCAAACTATTTACTCTGCGTGATTATTTATTCAATGTCAGGCTCCCGCTGTGGATGCATCTGGGTTTATCGCCAATAAATATTTGATGAGCACATGAAAAAACTACAAATGAACTATATTTTCAACCACTCGTTCAACAGATACTTCCTGCGTGCCTGTGCAATGACCCAGGCTCCACGCTCAGCTCTGGAGACACAGTGGTAACAGGACCGACGAGGGCACTGTGCTTAGATTCTAGAGGGAGGAGGCGCCGGGGGGCTCTGTGGGTCAAGCCTCTGCCTTGGACTCCGGTCATGATCCCGGGGTCCTGGGATCGAGCCCTGCATCAGGCTCTCTGCTCAGCGGGGAACCTGCTTCCCCCTCTCTCTCTGCCTGCCTCTCTGCCTACTTGTGATCTCTCTCTGTGTGTGTCAAATAAATAAATAATATCTTAAAAATTAAAAAAAAAAAAGGTTCTAGAGAGAGGAAGCAGACCAAAATGGTGCCTGTTGAAAAGGCAATAAAATGGGGCAATGGGATGAACCACGTCTGATGTTTGGGCCAGATAATCCCTTTTGTAGGTGACTGTCACGGGCATCATAGGGCATTTAGGAATATTGATGAGATGCCAGTAGAACCCTCTTCTGAGCGCAGACTGACCATCCAAAATGGTTCCTGATGCCGCCAAATGTCCCGTGAGGGGAGGGGCAAAATGGGTCCCCGTTAAGAGCCACTGATTTCAAGTGTGACCAGTCAACATCACTATGACGTTTTGCTCTAGTAGCCTGCAAGTCAACGGCTCGGCACAAGGAGCAAGAGGATGGATGCTTGGACTTAACCAGAGTTGGTTAAAATCTCCTGTACTCCATTCCAGATTTCGCCTTGTTTCTTCATTTTATTTATTTCATTTTGAGAGAAAGAGAGCACGTGATGGTGGGGGTAGAGGGAGAATCTTAAGCAGGATCTGTGCTGAGTGTGGAGCCCGACACAGGGTTCGATCTCGTGACCCTGAGATCATGACCTGAGTCGAAATCAAGAGTCAGACACCTAATTGACTGAGTCACCCAGGTGCTCCCATTCCAGATTTTAAAGGGTCGACCATCCGGAGCACCTGGGTGGCTCTGGGTTAAAGCCTCTGCCTTTGGCTCAGGTCATGATCTCAGGGTCCTGGGATCGAGCCCCGCATCGGGCTCTCTGCTCAGCGGGGAGCCTGCTTCCTCCTCTCTGCCTGCCTCTCTGCCTACTTGTGATCTCTGTCTGTCAAATAAATAAATAAAATCTTTAAAAAAAATTTTTTAAAAAGGGTCGACCATCCTAAGTGTTAGTGAGGGTATGGAGAAACTAAGCTCTCATACATTGCTGATGGGATGTCAAATGCTACGACCACTTGGGAAAACAGCTGCGAGCCAAGTTACAGACTCAGCTGTAATATAGTCCAGCTGTTCCACTCCTAGGTCTTTTCCAAGAGAAATGAAAGCACAGCGTCCAATCAAAGACTTGTGCATGAATGTTCCCAGCAGTGTTACTCATAATAGCCCAGGACTGGAAGTAATCCAAGGGCCCATCAGCAGGTGAAGGGATAATCAAACTGATCGCCATTGATAATCAAATCAATAATTTTCTTTTTTTTTTTTTTTTTAAAGATTTTATTTATTTATTTGACAGACAGAGATCACAAGTAGGCAGAGAGGCAGGCAGAAAGGGGGTGGGGGGAGCAGGCTCCCTGCTGAGCAGAGAGCCCGATATGGGGCTCGATCCCAGAACCCTGGGATCACGACCTGGGCTGAAGGCAGAGGCTTTAACCCACTGAGCCACCCAGGCGCCCCCAAATCAATAATTTTCAACAATAAAAAGGAATGAACTCTTGAGACACACAACGTAGATGATTGCTGTAAAGTGAAAGAAGACAGACAAAAAGAGCCCACAGTGGGGCTCCTGGGTGGCTCAGTGGGTTGAGCGTCTGACTCTTGGTTCTGGCTTGGGTCATGATCTCACGGTTGCGGGACTGAGTCCCACATTGGGCACTACCCTTGCCAGGGAGTCGGCTTGGGTTTCTCTCTTTTCCTCTGCCCCGCCCCCACTTGGACTCACAGGTGCTCTCTCTCTCTCTCTCTCTCTCAAATAAATCAAGAAATCTTAAAAAAAAAAAAAAAGAGTACATTCTGTATATTTCCTTTTGCATAAAATTCCAGAAAATGCAAAGTGCTCTAGGACGACAGACGGCACTGGTTGCCTAGGGCGTGGGTGGAAGGGCAGTAGGAGGGTTACAAAGAGGTAGAAGGAAACTTTGAGGGATGGTGGATGTGTCCATTCTCCTGATGACGGGGACGGTTTCGTGGGTGTATACATCTGTCAAAACTTCCCAAATCGGACCTTTGAAATATGCCCAGTTTATTGTTTCTCAATTATACCTCGGTAAAGCTGTTGAAAAAAGCAAAAAAATTAAAAATTCAGTTCAGGGGCGCCTGGTGGCTCAGTGGGTTAAAGCCTCTGCCTTCAGCTCGGGTCATGATCCCGGGGCCCTGGGATCGAGCCCCGCATCGGGCTCTCTGCTCAGCGGGGAGCCTGCTTCCCCCTCTCTCTCTGCCTGCCTCTCTGCCTGCTTGTGATCTCTGTCAAATAAATAAATAAAATCTTTAAAAAAAAAATTCAGTTCAATCTCCTCTGAGCCCTGTGTCAGTGTTAATATCATTCACTTTCTCCTTTTACCAAAGAGGCAAAGAAGGCACAGGGGGTTTGGGTAACTCTCCCAAGGGCACGGCGTTGGTAAGTGTCAGAGCCGGGCTCAGGCTCAGGCAGTGTGAGCCCAGAGTCCGTACCCTTCGCCGTTGCTGGGAGTCCGGGATGGCAGGACACAGTGTTGCACTGCTGCTGGACGTGGAGACGGGGACAGTCATTCTTCAGAGCAAGCTGGGAGTAGGGACTCAAATTGGGTTTAAACATGCCCCGGGACTCAGATATCCCACTGTGGGCATAGTTAGAGATAAGTAATAGACGTTCACAGAGGCAGAGACTATCTCCCAAACAAGTCCTCCGAGGGGCCCATAACACAGCTCGTTGGAAAAGGGCACCAGCGCATTCTGCGTCGCCACGGGGACTGTGGGTGACAGGGGTCCTCACCCGGCGGGACTGTGAGCAAGTAAAACGTGGTGTGAGTGACACTGTGGGGTACTACGCAATGAACCTGATCATAACAAAGCATGAATGAGGTTAAAGCACAGTGCATACTGACAATAAGTAGGACCAGAATGAAACGTGACACTATTGGGGCACCTGGGGGCTCAGTGGGTGAAGCATCTGCCTTCCGCTCGGGTCATGATCTCAGGACCTGGGATCCAGTCCCGCGTTACGCTCCCAAGCCTGCTTCTCCCTCTCCCTCTGCCCCTCCCTCTGCTAGTGCTTTCTCTCTCCTCTCTGTCACATAAATAAAATCTTATAAAAAAATAAAAATAAGATATAGATTAACAAACTCAATGCACAACAGATAGTGTTATTGACTCAATCCTCCGCACCCGAGTCCCCGATCTATAGACAAGATGTGGAGAAGGCACAGAGAGGGGCCCCAGCATTGCCAGAGCTCAGGAAGCAAGGTTGCCTTCCAGAAACTGAAGGCAGAGTGGGCCTGTGGAGTAGGAGCTGGAGTCAGTGTGTCTGCCGGGGTCCCCGGGCTTCTCAGGCCCCCCCCAGCCAATCTCTTACCTATCATGGGCTGAACACAGCCAGAAGGCAATGATCACAGGAGCTTGGAAAACAAGCCTGCGGGGATTAACGCCCCGTGGTAGAGGGCAGAGCAGAGGAAGGGCTACAACCGGTTCTATTGAATGGGCCACGATCACTCAGCAAGGTCCACACACACCCTTAGATCTCCCACGCAAGGTCCCTTCCTCCCCTCACCCCCTCATGTCACGTGCTTCTCCTTCCTTTTCCTTCTTCTTCTTTTTTTAAGGTTTTATCTATTTATTTGACACAGAGAGAGAGGCATGGAGAGAGGGAATACAAGCAGGGGGAAGTGGGAGAGGGAGAAGCAGGCTCCCTGCTGAACCGAAGGCAGATGCTTAACTGACTGAGCTACCCAGGTGCTCCCCCTTTTCCATCTTCTATCAGCAACCTTGTTCCCACTTTCGGGCCGGTTCTCCTACTCCCTTCCAGCTCTCCCGGTTTCTCGCTCATCTCCTCTCCCACTTCCCCATCCCTCTCTCCAGGCTCTTGGAACTATCTTCTCTACCTAGTTCTGACTTGGTTTCTTTGAGTGCGCTTTCCCCAGGGGTTTAAAGCCCTAGAAGCATCACTGAGGAGCCCATCAGAAACAAAACATCTGAATGAGAGCAGGCATGCCCATGGAGAGAACCCAACGGTGAACTTCACCAGCTACACTGACTTTTCATATGCCCCCCTCCCCTCACCCCTCCACTCCCGCCTGTGCCTCCTGTACCCCCTCCTTGCTCCAAGGCACCTTGCTTGACTTTTCCTTTCTCCCTGTCCTTCCCCCACCCCTTGTAGGAGTCCAGCAGTTGGTTCTTCCTTTATCTCTAGATTGGTCCTTCCCTGCCTCAGTCCATGGCTTCTGCTCCTTTGGGACTCCGCTATGCTCAGCTCTTAGCTCTTCATCGACACCCCCTTAGTGAGACAGGTGTAGCCATTCAGCCAATAGTTCCCTCCTTGGTGACTGTTCCCCAAGCTGCGTTGTTGGCCAGAAGGACCAGACCGTCATGCATTCACTCAACAGGTGCTGAGTGCCCGCCACCAGGCTGGACGCTGGGGACACAGCTGGGGACACAAGGTGACGTTCTCTCAAGGTTGAAGTACAGAGAAGAAATGATGCCAGTCGGCTACATCGGGGACACAGGGCTTTCTTTGTTTCTGGAAAAAGCCAGCAAAGGTTTCAGAGAGAGGATGAGCATTTTTTCAGAAGGGCACCCAGGGGAGAAATGGCATGGTGTGCCCTGGTACAAGGAGTTAGGGATTGACTAGAACGTGAGGATAGAGTCTAGAAGGTGGGGCAGAGATGGGGCAAGAAAGGCAGGTCTTTTTCGCTCTGAAAAGGGGTTTGAACTTGAGAGTGGGGACAACAAAGAACCACTGATTTTTGGGGAGGGAGTGATGAACTTGAGCTTTTTTTATATTGAGCTCCGCCCTCCGCACAGGGGAAAGTAAGGAGCGGGAGGTAACGGTGGGCGGACGACACCTCAGCAGTCCAGGTGGAGAAGAGCAGACGAATGTGCGTTTAGGAGGTCAACACACCCATGCCGGTAACTAGCTGGACAGGGCGTGTTGGTGGGGGAGGGGTTGTGGGGGGGAGGAAGGGAGCATGACCTCCAGGATGCTCCCCCAATGGGGAGAGGAGGTCAGGAGGCAGGGCAGGTGGGGACATGTGGATCATGGGAGCTGCCCCGTGCTGCTGGCAGCTGAATCCCCGGATCCCGAGCTGCAGAACGGGGCCTGCGCTGCACGTAAGGAAGCCTTGGAGAGGTGGCCCAGCGACGGCCAGGGGCCCCCCAGACGGCTCCTCCCGGACGCGCTGCGGATCCTCGCTCTCCCTCCAGGTGGCACCACAGTCCCGCGCGTCCGAGGCCCGTGCGCCGCGCCCTGCGCCGCGCTCCGGTCCGCTAGCGCCAGCTCTCAGGTCGCGCCCTCCTCGCGGAGGGTTCACACCCGGAGCGGCCTCAGGAGAGCGTGTCCAAGTCGTCCACGCGGCGGGCACATTCGCGGCAGCTCAGGGACCTCAGGCCGGTGGCGTGGTTGGTGTGACCAGCTGTCCCTCGGGCCGCCTCCAGGAGCCAGTGCGGGGAACCGGGGTAGGGGAAGGACCAGACAGGCAGTGGCCAGAGCGCGGATGCGCGGAAGGAGGACCGTCAAGCCCCGACACCCGACGCGCTGGGTACGGAACTTCCTGTGCCCCAGGGCCATCCCCACGTGCGAAGCACGTCTCGGACCCTTTAAGGCTCCGTCTCCCTGCCCTCCCCCGCCGGGGACCGGCCGGGACACCGGGGACCTGACATTTGGCGTCTCCCAACGCGGGAGCTAAAAATAGCCGGGGTGGGTTACTCCAGGCCATTGCTCCCCAGCCACCCCGCGCGCCCGCTCGCGCGCGGTCCCGGGCCGCCCGAGCTCTCTCCGGGGCCAAGCGTGCCTGCCGCATCCCCTCCTCCCCGACCCCACGGTCCCCACCCGCGGCGCCCACTTTCCGGCGCTACCCCAGCCCCAAGCCCGGCTGCCAGGCCGAGTCCCCACGCGAGGTGGGGAGGGACCTGCGTCCCGGGACCCTTTCCCCCAAACTTCGCGGTGGGAGGCCGGCAGGCACCCACCCCGCGCGTGTAGCCGGGCACGCTGGGGAGGCGGGGCCTCGCCGGCCAACCCGAGCCGCGGGGCCAGACTCTGAGCCCCGGGCCTAGGGAGGGGCGTGGGCTTCTGGGCGGGCTCCTGGCCAATGGGTGATGCGAAGGGCGTGGCCCGTGGAGGGTTGCGGGGGCTCTTCGGGCCTCTCCCCCCAGCCCGGCTCCGCCAGATCCCCGGGAGCCCTGCCGCTCTCTGGGTCCGTGGCTCGCGGCGGTGGGTCCCGCCGGTCTCGCCCTCCGCACGCCGCTCCGGGACGTCCGTCGCCCCCGCGCCCTCTGCCCGCCGGGCCGGGGCCGCCGACCCCCAGTCGCCTCCCTGTTAACTGAAGCTGCTGCGCCCCAGGTTCCTGAGACAAGATGCCGTCGGGCTTCCAACAGATCGGCTCGGAAGTAGGGTTCAGCATGCGGGGGCGGGGCGGGGGCGCAGGGCCCGCTTTTCTCGGGCTGGGGTCGCGGTTGGGGTCAGCTAGGGGGCGGTCCCTGCGCAGGCGCAGGGGGTGGGGGAAGTGGGGGCCTGGCTATTTATACACGAGCCGGACAACCCGTGACTGTGGGATTCCAGTCCTTCCAAGAGGCTGAGTGGGTCTGGGGGGACCGTCCAGGGACATGGGCCGCCCCGCGGTTTCCCGAGCCCAGGGTTCTCCCCCTTCTCCAGGGCGCGGCGGGACGCGCCAGGATCGGGGGACACCCTGCCCCAGATCCAGCCCGAGAAAGCAGATCCGGGCTGGTCTTGCCCTTCTGGAGCTGTCCGTGTGTCCCGGCTCGCGGGAAGTTTTTCGAGGAGCAGAGGCTCTCGTGGGCCCCCACCCCCACTCCTGGCCGTCCTCCAGGACGCTGAACTTTCCCTTGGCCCCATGGCTGGTGGAGGGGCTGAGGGGAGTGTCAGCCCCCCCTCCCCCAGCTCAGGTTTCCGCTTGGAGACAGTGTGTGCCGCCAGCGAGCGGCCACCGCTGCCACCGCCCCTCGCACCACCTTCCCGCCCCCATCCCCTGGGCACGGCTCTCCCAGGCAGAAGCCGGGCACGGCCCCCCGCCCCCTGCGGCAGAGCCTAGAGGGGGAGGGGAGCCCGGGGCGGAGACAGAGACGGCCACCCCAAGGGCCCTATGCGGGCAGGAATGACCGCGATGTCCTTTTTGGAATTGTCCTTCTTGGGCGTGTTGGGGGCCTCCAGGAGTCCTCTGAGAGCACCCCCAGAGGGGACAGAAGAGGACAGAGGCCTGTGATAAGGCCCTTGTCGGTTTATAAATCCTGCGCCGTCAGGAATCCCCTTAGCATTTGATTTTGATTTTCTCGTTTTCAGGGACAGGTAGGCAGAGCAGGCAACATCACTCCTAGGGCCCCTGACCCAGAGGAAACCTTAGCTTCAGAGTGGGAAAGTGACTTGCCCAAGGTCACACAAATCTGAACTCCAGTCTTAAGGCCAAAAGCCTCCCCCAAGGTCACCGAGAAACAGTGAGGTCAAGATCTTCAAACATTTCTCAGCTCCCTGGACTCAGACATCCCGTTTCTCCTTCATGCACGGTGACATGCCCGGTGACTGCTGCTGTTTACGCTGAGTTCCTCATCCCTATTCCTAATATGGGCCAGTTTCCCTCGGCCAACATGTTGGATGGAGCCCAGCATCTTCAGGCTCCAACGGGGCCCGGGCCCCTGGACAAAGGGAAGAAATCATGATTCTGTGTGACCCGCCTCCTCTCTGCTTCTGCTCACCCAGGACGGGGAACCCCCCCAGCAGCGAGTCACTGGGACCCTGGTCCTTGCTGTCTTCTCTGCTGTGCTCGGTTCCCTGCAGTTCGGCTACAATATTGGGGTCATCAATGCCCCGCAGAAGGTGAGGGGCCTGCGGCGGCCAGAGTGGGCTGTCCGAACAAGGAGGGGGCAGGGGACAGCGTGGGAGAGAGCCGAGGGGAAGGTCTCTGCAGGCTGTCACCCCTCCATTGTCTCCCCCACACATACCAGGTGATTGAGCAGAGCTACAATGAGACGTGGCTGGGGAGGCAGGGGCCTGAGGGACCCGGCTCCATCCCGCCAGGCACCCTCACCACCCTCTGGGCTCTCTCCGTGGCCATCTTCTCCGTGGGCGGCATGATCTCCTCCTTCCTTATTGGCGTCATCTCTCAGTGGCTAGGAAGGTATGGGGCTGGTGGGCGAGGGTTGGGGCGGGCAGGAAGAGGGCCTCCGCCTGGCACCCCAACTCTCGGCCCCACTCCTTGTCTGTCAGGAAGAGGGCGATGCTGGTCAACAACATCCTGGCGGTGCTGGGGGGCGCCCTCATGGGCCTGGCCAAAGCCTCGGCCTCATACGAGATGCTCATTCTGGGACGTTTCCTCATTGGCGCCTACTCAGGTACCCACCCGGCCCCGCACCGCGCCTGGCGCCCTGCTCTCCTCCGATGGCTCTGAGCTTGGGGGTGGGAGTGGCCAGGTGCCCTCACCCCTGTCTTCTTCCCTTTGCCCAGGGCTCACATCGGGGCTGGTGCCCATGTACGTGGGGGAGATCGCCCCCACTCACCTGCGCGGTGCCTTGGGGACGCTCAACCAGCTGGCCATTGTCATTGGCATTCTGATCGCCCAGGTGACCGGGCCTGGCCTTACTGGGTGGCTGGGGGTGGGGGGTTGAGTGGGGGCTCTGGGCTGAACGGCCTGCCCCCTTTCCTTCCCATGCGCGCTCCCCCAGGTGCTGGGCTTGGAGTCCATGCTGGGCACCGCCGCCCTCTGGCCCCTGCTCCTGGGCATCACGGTGCTGTCCGCCCTCCTGCAGCTGGTCCTCCTGCCCTTCTGCCCGGAAAGCCCGCGCTACCTTTACATCATCCGGAACCTGGAGGGGCCCGCCAGGAAGAGTGAGCTTCCCCCCACTGCCCCCACCTTTCTAGCACCTGTCCTGCCGGGGGGGGGGGCTCCCCCGCCCCATCCACTCAGGCCCCACCCTCGTTACGTGTAGGTCTGAAGCGCCTGACCGGCTGGGCCGATGTGTCGGGTGCGCTGGCTGAGCTGAAGGAGGAGAAGCGGAAGCTGGAGCGGGAGCGCCCGCTGTCCCTGCTCCAGCTGCTGGCCAGCCGCACCCACCGGCAGCCCCTGGTCATCGCGGTGGTCTTGCAGCTGAGCCAGCAGCTGTCGGGCATCAACGCTGTAGGTGGTGGGCAGCCTCGGGCGGGGCGGGGGTGTGGGCGCAGCCTGGGAGAAGGGGAGCCCACAGCCCGCCCCCCGGGGATCCAGTGCAGGGTAGTCCCAGCGTGGTGCAGCCTGCGAGGGAACGAGGGACACACTGCCAGCCCCCTTCCTTCTCCTCCCCTCGCAGGTCTTCTATTATTCAACCAGCATCTTTGAGTCAGCGGGGGTGGGGCAGCCGGCCTACGCCACCATAGGGGCCGGGGTGGTCAACACGGTCTTCACCTTGGTCTCGGTAATAGATGGTGTCTCCTCCCCCGTTGGCTTCGCGTCCCCCAAATGTCCCAGCCTTCCTCCCCTGGGTCCCCCCCCACTTCTTGTGCTCCAGAGGCCCCCCACCGAGGCCCCCCACCGAGCCCTGACGCTCCCGGCAGGTGTTCCTGGTGGAGCGGGCTGGGCGCCGGACCCTGCACCTCCTGGGCCTGGCGGGAATGTGCGGCTGCGCCATCCTGATGACTTTGGCGCTGCTTCTGCTGGTGAGGCCTGGGACAACCGGGGCAGGAGTGGGGTGGAGGTGGGGGGCATCGGTCCAGCCCCCCCGGGAACGGCCCCGGGAGGCTCTGCGCCCAGCCAGGGCCAGTCCTCAACACCTGCCTGTGATCCCCGGGGCGACCGGGTGCTCCCGAGGCACGCAAGCTGTCCTGGGGGCTGGGATGGAGAGCCCCTGTCCAGTCCCAGGAACGGTCACTCCCCAGGGGCTGCTGCAGAACCAGGAGAGGATGGACCACCTTGACCGAGAGGGCGTCCGCATCCCCTGCGTAGGGCAGCAGTGCGACAGCCGGCTGGGTGTGGACACTCAGCAGGGCTCAGAGGCCTGCGCCCACCTGGGGTGGCGGGCTCGTCCATCACCAGCCCGGAGGGACAGACCCCAGGTCTCCTCGCAGCCTGAATTCCTTTCCCTCCCCGCCTGCCCCAGGAGCGCATTCCTGCCATGAGCTACGTCTCCATCGTGGCCATCTTTGGCTTTGTGGCATTCTTTGAGATTGGCCCCGGCCCCATCCCCTGGTTCATCGTGGCCGAACTGTTCAGCCAGGGCCCCCGGCCAGCGGCCATGGCCGTGGCCGGCTTCTCCAACTGGACGTGCAACTTCATCATTGGCATGGGTTTCCAGTATGTGGCGGTAGGTCCCCTAAGCCTCGTCCCTGTGTTCAGCTCCTTAGGCCAGAGGGGGGCACGTCACAACCAGCCCGCTTGCTTTCCCCCCTCCTGGCTGGGAATTACTCTGGTGGACCACGTGGGCCCTGAGAAGCACCCACAGTCCCAGGAAAGAAGGGAACTGAGGGGCATGGGCTAACAGCGAGGGGTCTTCAAAACCAAGTGCAGCCCAACTTCCAGTAAAGCCATCGGCTTCGGGCTCCTACTGCCAGCGGTTGGGAATCTGCTCCCCGCGGCGCTACCGTGCTCCGGGCGGGAAACGAGGACAGGTTTTAGGAGGCGGGGGACGGAGATCCTTTCCTTCACTCATTCCCGGTTTCCCTGGGCCCGCAAGGGAGCCACCTGCGTGTCCATCATGCCCCCACTGGCCGGGGCCCTGGGCGCCTGCTCCCGAGAGCGCGCCGGCCCTCCCCTCCGCCAACCCCTTTCTCCACCCGTCCCAGGAGGCTATGGGGCCCTACGTCTTCCTTCTCTTCGCCGTCCTCCTGCTTGGCTTCTTCATCTTCACCTTCTTAAAAGTGCCTGAAACCCGAGGCCGGACGTTTGACCAGATCTCGGCCGACTTCCACCGGACACCGTCCCTCTTAGAGCAGGAGGTGAAACCCAGCACAGAGCTCGAGTACTTGGGGCCCGATGAGAACGACTGAGAGGTCGTGCTCTTGCCCCTCCGGGGACCCCTCCTCTCCTGTGCAGCCCTGCGGCCCGCTCTCCTCCTTGCTTCCAGGGCGACACCCCTGCAGCCTGGTAGAAGTGGGAAGCTGGCGGGGACCGTGGTCTGAGCAACCCCCCATTCCCCTCGTGTGACTCTTGGATTATTTATGTCGTGGTTAGGCTGTGGCCATCAGGGTGGGCAATTCTCTGGGCTCCCCCCCCTCCGTAGCCCACCCCGCCCCCACCTGGCCACCCTTCCAGAATATTCTTGTCCCTTGCTAGAGAAGGGGTTGTGGGGAGGAGAGCCCCCGGGGTGGGACGGAAGCAGGAGCAGGACTGGAGCAGAGAAGGTAGCTTTCTGCCATCTTGGACTCCTCCTCCTCGCGGGCACCTTCTCTGAATTCCTGCCACATAGACCCTGGGTGAAGGGGGTCCCGCCTTGACCCCTCCCAGACGAGGACGCACCCTCCCAAAGCCCAAGTTCATCTCTCCTGGCAGGCTCGGCTCTCTCGCTCAACCTTCCAGGGCAAGAGGGCCGTGTGCCCATGTGTGGTGAGAGGGACTGCCCCTCACTCCCTTCTCCTCTGCCTTCAAGGATGTTCTCCCCACAAGCTTCTGACCAACTAAGGGCAAGAGGAGTTTGAAAGGCTGCCTGTAAACACGGGGTGGGAGGAGCCCTCAGATATTTTTGTATATGTTTGCAGAAGGGGTAGAAAGAAGAAACCAAAGGTCTGTTGTACTAAATGTATATATATACATATATATATATATATATATATATATATATATATAGATCCATACATAAAGTCACTGTTTGCGACATGCGTCCTGTCGTGGAGGCACCCGGGACGGGCTGGACAGGGACTGCAGTTCCCTGGTCCCCTCTGCATCCTGCTGTCCCTCTCCACCCTGCCTTAGCTCGAGGTCCAAGAATCCTGTGGCTGTGCTCACTCTGTCCCCATTTCTGCTTCTAGTCGTTGCCTTTTTTTTTTTTCCCCTTAAAGTAAGCTCTACACCCAACAAGGGTCCTGAACGCATGACCCCAAGATCAAGAGTGGCCTGTGCTACTGACTGAGTCAGCCGGGCGCCCCTGGTCGTTGTTTTTACGAACAGTAAATGCTCAGTAAGTTGCAGCCCCGGGTGGCAGCCGCTGCCTTTGGCACTTTCCAGAACATTCCTGCAGGGGAGAGGTCAGCCCCAGGGTAGGGACAGGACAAGTGAATCTCCCCGGGTGGGGAGAGGCACCCTCAGACCTGCGCCCAGGAGGAGGGCTCCCGCCCGCCGGGCCAGCCCCCCACCCTCTGCCACCCCCGTTGGCAGGGAGGTACCGGCGAGTCCACAGAAAAGAGGCAGACACCAAGACCATGGGGAAAGCCTGGTTTTGTTTTTACTGGAGGCTCGGGTGGCACATGACAGTTCATTAAATGGCTTCAGAGGTAGGGGCTAGAGGAGAGACCAAAAATAAACTGGGGTGGGAGAGAAAAGCAACCAGGAGGAGGTAGGAGCTGGCTGGTTCCTTCACAGCCTGATTTAGGGGAGGGACGTTGTGCTTCTTAACAGTAGGATGGCTCCCTTCCTTCAGCCCTTGGTAGGGACAGAGAAAAAGCAAAAGGCTGTTGCTTCGGCCCTCCTGAGTCTCAAGGAAAAGGGGAGAGCTGGTGTTTTTGATGTCATGAATTCTGGGAAGGGGGCAGGGGGTGCTGGGTGGGGTACAGGGCGGTTGGAAAAACTGGCAGATAACCTGTGTGAGAGAGAGACAGCGACAAGTCGTGACCGGGGACCCCTCCTCAGGCCCAGCATCCCATCTCTGGGCCTGCCCCCCGGGTGCAGCCGCTCACCAGATGGTAGCTCTGGGGATCCTTCGTGTTGGAGTCACTCCAGTATGGTGGGTGGGGGGTCCCCACTGTTGATGGGGGCTGAGGTCTGGAGAGAACAGGGCTGGTCATTTGAGACCCTCTTACTCTTGAGAGCCCCCAACTTGAACCTTCTTCCACGTTCTTTCTTCCCATTCCTCCCACAAGCAGGGGGGCTGGGGCTCCAAGCAGAGTGAGAGGGGGGTCTGGGGGGACACCTGCCTGAAGGTAGAGGACCCAGCAGCAGCAATCTGGGCTCCCTGGTGTGTGGGGGAAGGGGTTTACAGGGGCAGAGAAGGGAAGGGAAATGGGCTGGGGCTGTTTCTCTTACCCCCCTTGCTCCCCACCAAGCAGCCCAGGACCTCACCTCCGGGGCTATAGGCTGCCTGGGTCCGGGGGGCTGCTGCCGCCGCCGCTGGAAATAGGGGCGGTTTCGTGGGCGCTGGGGCTCAGGCCGGGAACCATCAGTGGGGCCTTGGTTGGGCTTGGTCTCGCCATCCCCACCTTCTGTGGTAGGCTGCTGGGGTGGCCTGGGGCGGAAAGGCCTGGGGAGACAATTGGGAGACCCTGGAGCAGGCAGCGAGCCGGTGGGTTCCGTCTTCCTCCCTCCCAGGGCTCCCCCAGAGGAGGGAAACCAGCCGGCTTCCCCCCCTTCCCCTTGGGCACTTAAGCAGCCATCTCTCAGCTGCTCTGGCCCCTTGCCGCCAGCCTCAGGCTCCTCTTAGCCTCGCTCTCCACCCCCCCACACCCACCAATGCTGGACGGCAAGGGGAAGACAGCCTGGGAGAGGGAGCCTTACCTTCGGTACCGAGGCCGGAATCTGGGAGGGGGCATGCGCTCATCTCCCTGCTGGTCCCCCTCCAATGGGGCCGTCTCTTTGGGCTCTACCCCGTCGGTGCCCTAGGAGCACGCAAAGGCCCGGGGGGAGTGGGGGAGGGGCGACAGCGTCCAGGGCCCCCAGCATCTGGACCCGTTCCCTGCAGACCCAGAGATCTGTGTCCACCCCTCCCCCGGGTGCGGCAGCAGCCTCCACACACCCAGGACCCCCACCTCTATAGGCTGCTGCTGGCTGGGGGGCCGAGGGCCTCGCACAAAGCGCCTTCGGTAGAAGAAGGGAGGTGGGCGCCGCCGCCTGGGCCTCTGCCCCGAGTCCTCAACTCGCTCGCCTTCGCTGCCCGGTTCTGCCCCACCGGTCGGAGCCTCTGCCACCATGGGTGGGGGGGCAGCCGGGCGAGGCCGGGGGATGAACCTACGGAACCTGCGCCGATTGGGGGCGTAGCGGCTGCCCTTCACGGGCGCACCCCCGGGCCCGGTCACGTTGGCAGCTTCGGCACCCTGGGGAGAGGTGGGGAGCACGGCAGAGCTCGCCCCAGCCACGACCCAACGCCCCCAAACCCGCCTCCCCTCCTCCCAGGTAAATCCACCCTCTCCAGCTGCCCTGCAGCAGCCCCAGGCCGCGGTCTCCTGCCCTCCTCCAATGGCCCGGGTCTGCTTGTGGACGCTTTGAGGAAGGGCCCCTCTCTAACTCGCCCTTCTTGGGTAGTTGCTATTGGACCCTGTGGGCTGGGGTCGGGGAGGAAGACGGCAGGCTCCGGACTCCAGTAGAACCCACTAGAAGTGCTTGGTGCATGACAAAGAAGCCTGGAAGTCATCAAGGGCTCTAAGACGTCTGGCGAAGGCCCCAGCCGTCCTCGGGACAGCACTGCCCCACTCCACTCCACAGCCTGGGCTAACTGGCCCGAGGAAGAGGGCCCTAGGGAGGGTCGCCCCAGCCCCGCCCCAGCCCGAACCTTCTCTCCCTCCACGACATCGAACTCCACTGTCTCCCCGTCTCCAACGCTGCGTAGGAACTTCCTGGGGTTGTTCCTTTTAATGGCCGTCTGGCAGAGGAAAGGCCATGAGAAAGGTGAGGGCAGCAGGCCCGGAGTCTCCCTCACCCCTGCTGGGTCTGCCACCCCGTTTCCTTCTGTTCACCGTCCATCACGGGTGCAGCGGGGCCGGAGGGCGGAGCGCGGAGGCAGGCCAAGTTCAGTGGGGGAGAAGCCGCAAACCAGAGGCAAACCAGACGCCTCCCAGCACCCTCGCCCTCAGCACTGTCCCTGGGACACACTCCCCCCTCCCTTCAGCCCTCAGGGATTTCCCAAAGGGAGGCCAGAAGCAGGAACTCAAAGCAAAACCAGAGGCAGAGACTGTCCTAAGTTGCAGAGCAGGCAAAGTGCCTGGTGCTTCTTACCCGAGAGCTCCCACCCCCAGAGTGGTGGTTCTCAAGCTGCAGCCGCACCAGTATCACCTGGAGACCCCTTCAGACGGACGGCGGCCCCTCCCCCAAGCCTGACCACTGCAGCAGCCCTGAGGTGGGCGAGGGTTCCCAGGGCAGGTGATGCTGCTGCCTCGGGGACCACACTTTGAGAACCACCGCAAGTAGCTCCAGCCTGTGTCCTCTCTCTCAGAACACGGCCTAGGGTTCATTCTCGAGTAACAGGTCCCAACGTGGGGAGTGAGCACGCCACGGCCGGGGGGCAACAAGCGCATTTCTCACGCAGACCGCGTGACACATGTGGGGCCAATGGCGGTTAATACAGGCACCTGAGGCGAGGGGGAGGAGGGGACCACTTCCTGGCGGGCATGCTGTTGTGAGGGGAAAGCAGGCAGATGATGGCAAAGGCCTTCCGGGAGGGGGTGCGTTCTTCCCCACTCCCCGCCCCCCAGCTCTTACCTGGTGAACAAAGACATCCTCCTTGGTGTCATTCCTGCAGAACGGGAGGGTTTGTTGGGAGGGGCTTCGGGGAGGCCTCCCCGGGTGGCCAGACCCCAAAGGAGCAGGCCCATCCTCGCCCACCACCCCGGGCTCCCGGGGGGGGGGGGGCGGTAGACAGGCCCAGGGAGTGATAAGAGCTGGGAGCTGGTATGAAGGGAAGAATAGCAAAAACCTCAGTGAAAACCCTGAGTTTCCTAGGAGGGGGAGGCAAAGTCACCTTGAAGACGCTGGGCCAGCTCTTTACCTGTGGAGGACTCACTTCTCTGCCCCAGGGGCACCTTAGAACCTGGCAGTGCTGAGCAGCTACCTCTGGCCAACACCCCCGCCCCAGCCCCTATCACGGCTGGAAAATTCCTCTCCAGGTCTTCCCTTCTATAGTCTAGAAGGAGGGATAAAGTGTGGATGGGGGTGTGGGGTCGAGGTGCAGAACGAGTCTGAGAAAAGGACAGTGTTCCCAGGGGCTGCTCTAAACATCCCCAATACTTTATTCTCACCCTCAGCCCAGAGGTGAACCCCAG